TGACTCCCCACCTGTGCCCACCTCGTCAGTAATGGGAATGCTCAGTGGTTCCTCCCCACATACCAGCACAAAGTTTCCCAGAATGTCCCCACATGGATAGGGGCATTTTGAGCAGGACAACATCCACAGACATGAAAGTTATGAGCAGCAGCGACCAGACACAGTAAGAGAGAGAGAGAGAGAGAGATTAGGAGAGGGGAGATCTGTGGGGAGCTCCCTTCCTCCTGTTGCTCAAGGATAGGACAATCTGAGGGAAGAAGCCGGCACCGCTCTTCTTCTTCTTCGGCGCCCCGCCGTTGCTGGAGGCGGAGCCGCCACGGTGCTGCGTCACGTCTTCCGGGGCGATCAGGTCATCATCGTCTTCGAGGAGATCGGAGCCGTCCATCCGCAGATTCTCGAAGTGAGGGAAGGCGAAGTCGGACTCGCTGAACCTGAATAATATGCTCGATAGATCATCTCCTCGCAGCAGCACATGGTCCACCTACATGCGCTCCCATGACAACAGCAACTGAAGCATGCATCATCAATGGAGCTTACTTCTGAGGGAGACAGGGGAAGAGTACGTACCTTGCACGAGAGAGAGCAGAAGTGGAAGGGCTCTTGGAGGATCCTGTCGCAGGTCAAGCAAATGTTGCCGGAGCCCTTGAAAGGCCTGGATTGAGGCCTTGGCTTCAGGAACACCACTTTGGCACTGTTGATAGTGTATGGCTGTCACAAGAGCCATGGAACAAAGGAAACAATTTCTCAGACCAAATCCATCTTACATGCACTCAATTAACCTCAAGGCTGTGTACGTACCTGGACATAGGAACAGTCTATGAGCCTCTCAAGATCATCCAATCGAACCACATCATTGTACACATAACGTCTCACCTAAACCTCACAAAAGATCAGATAATTAGGTACGCAAATATGAATTACTGGGTACTTATGTGACAGACCACAAGCTAAGTGGTCAACGATGCCACTGTGTTAAAAGTATTACAGGGGAAAAGCCACTCTGTCCTTTGGAGGCAAAATAGTAAACTCGTCCTCCCGAGGTGGGGAAAGAGATGATTGGTGGAAGTCGGAAGGTTTCTTCTGCTTGAAGGAAGATTAATGGCGTACACAAATCTATCTGTTCTTGGAAATTTACAGAAGCTACTGAATTAAGAAGGAGAAAGACAAAATATTTAGACGTTTGAGTAAAAAGATTAATTTTATGGTACGTTTTCATGGTCACCAAGAGGAGAGCAACCAACATAATGTCATCACAGAAGGTAAAGAAAGGATTGAAATTATGTTAATTCTCTTTATATTTTAAGGACACTGTAGCTATCAGGAATGGAGAATTGGGAAACTATAGAGCGATGAGACCAAGTAATAAGAGCAATCCTCGTGTGGAAGTGTAGAATCTAGAGTGGAAGAGCAATTTCCTTTAACAAGGTGTAAAAAATCTACAAAAGATTTTGCTGTCCACATGAAGCCAACCACAGTGAGAAGCTACAACAAGCCTACGGTATTTCTCTTGAAGCTGTTGTAGATACAGAAAGATATAAGATGTGAATGTATAAAGGACAACAAGTACTAGTATGTCTAGTCCCAAAGAGAGAGAGAGAAAACCAAGATGGTAATAATTCTTTGACCTTGATTCTGAACAAGACAGGGATGAAAGTATTATTAGTTTTGGAGAAAAAAAAATGAGAGCTTGAAGCTCAAGCAGAAAAGATATATAGCAAAATTAGTGGTATAAGACCAACAATTCAGCGAGGTTACAGTGCTCGGTAAAAGGGAAGGAGTAAAACAGAAGTACAATTTGAGGAAAAATGAAGGAAACCACCACCATGGGACTAACACAGCTGCCACAATCTTTAGAGAATTATTGGCAATATTCTTAGTGTAATCACTCAAAAAGTTTATGATCATAAAATTAAGGACATATGTAAGATGAAAGGGTCAAGTCATCAGAACAAGCGTTAGAAAGAGAGAAATGATCTGCTATGCCACTGGCTAGTGATACTGAAACTGGAAGTTGCCCAGTTGGCAGAGGGGAGGAGGAGGAGGAGGATTTGAGAGCTCATTAGGGGAAGGCATGAGCAAGAATTAAGCTTGGTGGTGGAGGAGGAGGAGGAAAGACGGGAGTGAGCAGACCTGGAGGAGTGGGTGGGAGGGGTGGGCGGCTGCGCAGTGGGGGCAGATACTGGTGCAGCAGTCGAGGCAGAAGATGTTCTTCTCGTTCTTCTTCCGGCTCTCATGGGCCCCGCACCCCACGAAGAAGCTCTCCTCCACCAAGCCCCCCAGCCACCCCGGCATCGCTGCTGCTGGTGCTGCCACCCCATTCCCCCCTTCATATGCCCCTCTCCCCATCCTCTCTCTCTGTATGCCTTTGAAGCCAACTCACACACTGTCTCTCTCTGTTTCTCACTCTCTGTCTTCGGCTCCCTCACTTCTATCTCTTTTTATGAAATTGTATATAGGAACAGTGATCCAGTGGTTTTCTTCTTGAGCTTAAACTGTGGAGGAGAAAGTGAAGCTGGGTGGGATTAACGAACCTCCTGCGCCTATTTATAGGTGGCTGGCAGGAACAGCACCAGAGAGAGAGAGAGAGAGAGAGAGAGAGAGAGCCGAGTGACTGAGTGATCAAGGAAGGTGAGAGAAAATAATGGGTCCTCTTCCTACCAAAGAAGAAGGGCAAAGAAAAAACGTAGCAATTGATGGGGAATGGGTTGGAGAACAAATGGAATTATGGGTTTTTTGGGGCATTTTTTGTTCTTTTTTCCCCTTCAACTTTGGCAGTGGGTGGTGGTGCTTATGGCGGGAAGACAAGAACCCACCCTACTATTTCTTTGTACTTTTCCTGTGCTGTCCTGCCTGGTATTTCCCCTCCCTCCCTCAAGAAAAATGGCCGAGGCGTTACAGGAAAAGCAAGAGAAAAGAGATCTTTTGTTTCCTTTTCCTGTTTTGCCTTCTCCTTTTATCTGATCTCTCTCTCCCCTTCTCTTTCTTCCTGCGTCTGGTTTCTCCTGCTTTAGTTTTGGAGATAAGGTTTCTGCTCCTCAAAACCATATCATCCTGCCATGAAGCTTGGTATTGAGTTGAAGCTTGATGAACTCATACGCCTGAATGCTAGCACAAAAATCTAAGAGATGAAAGCTCATCAAGTTCCAAACGAAGGTAATGTACCGCCCTGACAAAACCTGGAAAAGATGGAAGCTCTAACGAATAATTTGGGCCCATTTGCATGTGATGAGGCTTCCGTGTGGTCATAGTTGATTAGCAATCAACTGATCCGAAAGCATCAAACATGGCCATTGCTTCCTTGATGGAGACACCAACTCACCAATGTGGTCTTCGTTGCTTGTTAAGATTAAAAATGAGAACTCTCATTGCAGTAAATTCTTTCCTAATCAAAGCTTTTTACTATTTTGATCCAATGAAGTCCAAGAAGAGACACATTGACTTCATTAGAAAGTAACTCAATCAACCTTAGTAAAGGTGTAGTGTGGAATGTTAGATTTGATGGACATCCAAAAATATGAACAGAAGAGATTCACAGAGCCACGAGGCCGTGGCCAGTGAAGAGAGAGAGAGAGAGAGAGAGAGAGAGAGAGAGAGAGAGAATTGGACTGCAACTTTAAACAGGGGCTCATAAGAAAGGTTTAAGGAGGTGATTAGCCACCAAGCTTCTCATTTGAGCTGGAGGTTATGCAATTAGAAGAACCATCACAGCTTCATATTCTTCAAAGGACAGTCACCAGTGTCCTTCGATGTGAAGTCCAGCAAACATGGGGCCATTTGCACACCATCAGGTTGGGCCAAATCATCATGCTGGCCCCACCTCATGGGGATGACATGGCAGGATCCATATCGCTACACCAGTGGGGTTGATGGAGCCAACCCCCGGGTAACAATGATTGCAGCACTCTGAGCTTCACCATTGGCCTCCAGGGTTCCAAGGACGAGCAATTCATACACCACCAAGTTCTTCTGCTCAGTTGTTCCACATGGTGAGCTTGATCTTGATCTGGCAATCATCCTTGTAACATAAATGGAGATACCAGTGATGCTGGACCAGGAAAGCTGGGGACTAGAAATGAGATACGGCTGCCTCATCCATCAAACTCAACAGATGAGATGATCACTGTGCTTCCACCTGTGACTTAGGAAGAAAGAACGATCTGCATAGACTTGGAAATATATCCACCAGTCTTCATCATCATCATCTTGTTCTTTCCTAAGAACTTTATCTTGTGGTAAATCGTGAAACCAGCTCGCTGTGGTCGGTACATGCATGTGAAACCGTACGGATGAGCGACGCTTGTGCTGAGAGAAAGGTATGGGCGAGCATTTGGGGGTGGACCTACAAATCTTTCTCCTGCGACCAGTTGATTCGAGAAGACACCACAACCCACCGTAGCTTAGTATGTGCTCACCCTGTAGCTTGATTCAATATGGTGCACATACAAGCTACCGAGCGACGCTTCTCTTTAGCAGCATGATGATGTATGTAAAGTTTAAATTTCAGACTCTTCTACTGCAAGCAAGTCTGAGTGTTTCTCTCCCTGTGTTAATTACGTAATCATGTTTAATCTGCAAAACAATTCATCTGTACAGTAAAACAATCACCAGAAGAAGGAAGGAGTCAGAGAATGCTTTGGATGATGTGTACTAAGCTTTAATTTCACATCACATCCATCACCATAACTAGAAGTTTCAACCTTCTGCTTCTATTGTCCCAAATGGAGCAAAGGGGCTCACAGTGGGGGAGTGGGTGTTTACCACTCCCATGTGGTTGTGGTGCAAGGAAGGAAGGGGGTGGTCGAACTGTGGTTGGCCCTTTGCATGTGACACCAACACCAAAAGGCCGGTGGCAACATCCTAAGGATGTGACATCTGGTTGACTCCACCCCATCCAATCAGTGCTCTCACGCATCACAGATTTTTGGTCGAGTGCCACTTTGTTGGTTGACTAGGATTGGATCCTCTATGCTAGATTCAAGTTGGAACTTCTTAATATGGTCGTCAGGTGTCGCTCGTGAGATGCCTTCTGGTCCTGCGGCAGCCTCTTCCTGCTTTACCTCCTGCACATGAACAGCAGATGAATGACTGAGTGAGCGAGTTCTGTTCTGAGAGGATCGAAGATAAGAACTGCAAGCTGTGAGAGATACTCTCAGCAAACTCAGATTCTCTCAGCAGAATCTGCATCTGTGAGAGATACAAATTGCTGCTAGGAAATAGTAGAAGAGCTGTTTCCACGGAGCAAATTGTATCTGTTGTAGTACATTGCAGGAATATCTCACGTTCCAAGGAAGGAAGACCTACTGATTGCATAAGAACATCACATCCCATGAACTCTGGTTTGAGAGTGTTGAAGTACTGAGAAGGAAGCAAAAGCAATGCTTACAGCTAAAATGGTTGCCAGGGGGCCCCTGACTGTGCTGCAGCCATGTTCTTCTTGGCTTATAAGGGGCTCACTGGATTCAGAGACACAGCTGCTGCTGCCACATGAGACCACAAGGGAGTCACATGTTCTTCCACCCTCCCCACTAGCTTGAGCTGAGGACATCCCACCCAATTTGATTGAGACCCTTTTGAATTGACACCAACTCATCCCCTTCCCATGTGTTATCAAAGAAGATGACTATCTAAGAACTGTTTGCAGACTGTTCTCCACCGCTCAGAGATGATGCTCTCTTGGTGATGCCTCTCTCGTGGGAGACATGAATTGAGTTAAAAAATTGCTGGAAGATAAACACTTTGATTTGTTGTTTCATGTAATCTTTTCTCAAATAATAAGGATACAGTACTATTAGTATCAAATCAAATAAAAAAAGAATAAAGATAAAAAAATATTAAACTTATAAAAAAAAATACTTAACGACTCTTGGACTTTAGTCCTATTAACTTAAATATTTGAGGTTTAAATTTTTTATACAGATTAATGCCACCTATTTATTGATATGAAATATAAGAGTTCCTAATATCTAGAACTCTATTTAATCTTTTTTAAAAGATAACATCAATTTGAAATATATCAAAATATATTTTAAAATTTTAAATTAAGAATTCATTATCCTTCCAACTCTATCTAATCTTATTTAAAAAGTAAAATATTAGTTTATGATCTTACAAAATATATTTTAATATTTTAATACTTTTCTTTAAAGTATACTTTTGAAGATAAGTCTCAACTTGCTTTGCAAAGTCATGCCCATGATTGCCACCAAGCATTGTGATAGTATAGGATCGTTGAATCTCGGATTTTGATGATGAACTAATTGATAAGTGTTTATGATTTGATTTGCATTTTGAGTGACGTAGGATGCTTCGATCTAGATTAGATAATTAAAGTAAGAAGAATTATATTGGGCCGGAGGAAAATATGTCAGGAGATTAGACGTTGGATCGAAGGTGTTAGGATCAAGAGCACTAAGGGGGGGGTGAATTAGTACAGCGGAGAAAACCTTCTACGATAAAAATCGCGTTCGTTCGATAAAAGTGATTTCGGTAAGAAAGCCGATTTGTAAATCACTTTAACTTTTGATTAAGCGAGATGCAGCAAAGATATAAGTGCAGTTTGCAGTTATGGTTCAAATCAGATAGTAGGCGCAAACTGAAATATGATATCGTACGAAAAAACTGATTTACGTCTAAATGCTGATTCGTAAATCACTTGATTAAGCGAGATGCAGTTAAAGCAAGGATATAAAGGCAGTTTGCAGTTATGATAGAAATCAAAACGTAAACGCAAACTGAAATATGATGATCGTACGATAAAACTGATTTACGTCTAAACGCCGATTCGGAAAGTGCAAAGCTTGAAACCCGATCGTATATGCGTAGAAAACAGTAAGCTTTTGAGGAGATTTGCAGTAAGGATAAGATGCTCAAAGTAAATGCAAACCGAGATTTAGAGTGGTTCAGTCAATCTTGACCTACTCCACTTTTGGCTTCCTCCACCGACGAGGTCACCGACGTCAACTAGAGGCCTTCCTTCAATAGGCGAAGGCCAACCACCCTTTTACAGTTTCACTCCTTTTGACGGGCTTAGGAGACAACCCTTACAGAATTTTCTCTCCTCTCTTTAAAGATCAGAACTTGGAAGAAAATAGGGAGAAGAACTTTTGGCCTTTACAATAATTTTGAGCTCTAAGAATCACAGAATAAGATCAGGATTTCGGTGTGTTTTGAGTGCCCTTTCAGTGCTGAATGGGTGGGGTATTTATAGGCCCCAACCAAGTTTGAATTTGGAGCTCAAAACTGTCAATTCCCGAAATTCCGGGATCTGGCGGTTGCACCGCCTGGCAGAGCTCGAAGACTAAGCCTCTGGGCGGTGCCACCTCTGTCAGGGGCGGTTGCACCTCCTGCCAGAGCTCAAAGACCGAGCTCAGACGGTGCCACCGCCTGACTAAGGCGGTTGCACCGCTCAGCCAGAGCTCGGAGACCGAGCCCAGGCGGTGCCACCTCTTGGCTAGGGCGGTTGCACCGCCCACTCAGAGACTGAGCCCAGGCGGTGCCACCGCCTGGCATGGGCGGTTCAACCACCTGGCTTGGGCGGTTCAACCGCCTGGCAGAAATCAAGGTCCGAATGGGTTGATCCATTTGGCCCAATTTGGGTTTTTCAGGGGCCCAATTGCCCCAAGATTAAGTTAATGGGATGACCTTCCATTTCCAACTTAATCATTGTGCTAACTACGATATTTCCTAAGACATTTACTGCAACTTGCTCCGATGCGTCCATCGCTTCTTCCGGCGAGCTTCCGACGAACTTCCGTCGATCATCCGATGAACCCTCGGTGATGCTCCTACGGACTTCCGGCAAACTCCTGGACTTGCGACGATCAACTTGGCGAGTTCCGACGAGCTTCTTTGGCAAGTTCATGGACTTCTCGGATTTGTTCCCGTAGAACCTCCGACGATTGTCCGAACTTCCGTCGAACTCTCGAACTCCCAACGTGATCATTGTCTTAACTCCGGCGCAACTCCTGC